TGGCACCTTTCCCTACTAGCTGACTTGAAAGCAATAACCCACAGTTCAACTCCACCTGATACTTCTTGTTATGCCCAGGACAACAAAGACGTGATCTTTACAGTAAGAGAGGGGTAAATCCCTGAGTTAGTATCCACAAGAAGGAAGAAGGAACTGGCTGAATGAAGCTTTTGTCAAGCTCTGTCAGTATATTGCTGTATGTGGGACATCGCTGGCAGAGCTTGGCTGAGGAAACGGGGCCACAAGAGCCAGTGGCAGCGACCTGAGAGGCTGCCAGAATGTAGGTTAGCTATAAGTTATGTAATGTGGACTCTGGACAGAGAGCATGCCGAGGGTTTACTCTGACTGTCCTCTGTGTGCGAGCAGATATGAGATTGGATCATCTGTCAGACACAGAATGTATGAGGGGAAGACAATGTTGAGGAGGGCAGCTCTGGAATGATGAATCTCTACCATTGCGCTGTATGGAACTCCATTGACATGACAAGAAAATGGAACTAAATCTGGGGGGGGAAAGGTAAATAAATCAGGTATCTGGGTTGGTTTGACTTTCATTGCTGCATTGATAATGTGAATATACAGTAAATTGTGAGTGATTTAATAACCATTCCAGTGCTAGTGAGTGAACTACTCATTTTCTTCCATGACTCATCATTAGTGCTGCACCGTACCACAGTATGGAGCAGCACACAACAAAGTCACAAAAGGAACAGGAAACTCCAACTGTTTTGCACAAATGTATTTTTGGACGGGCTGCGTGATTGCACTATAAATAGCCAGCTAGCCATGGCGTAGCACTTGGATCATGTGTTGTGAGTATGTCACAGATCTCAGAGAGGATACACTGACTGGATGTACCCTCAGGTTGCAAAATCTACCGTGCATCAAACTCTTTAAAATTATACACTCATTCACAAAATGAGGCGTAAGCGTCATTTTACTATATTAGTAATTTCCTCCTCTCTTCTGTGTCCCTGGTGTTTACTCCCCGCACATACATGCACTGGAGTGATCCCAGCCAAAGTGGGTCACACTCCACTGAGTGCTGAGGACAGGACGAGCAGAGCAGCCCTTCCTCCGGCCACAGTATATTTGGACCAACAGGTATTTAGTGCATTTTGGTTTTTTTTACTTCAAACTGAAGCACTGACGTGTATCAACATGGGGTCAAAGCTCAAGAGTATTTTGGACTTGTCTGTCTTTCCGTTCATCCGTCTGTCCATCTATTGGCTTTGTCTCACTCTCTGAGCGCTGCAGCTTAATTTTTAATAATAGTTCAAAATGGGAATGTGCATAGCATTTCTGACTAATACTTACATTTGTTAACAAGCAATAAAACATATCAGGAAAGCAGGGAGGAGGATTTTACACCCAAATCCATAATCGACTGCTTCTGCACACTACATGGAGTGTTCTGGAGTTTAAGAGTGTCTGACTTAAATCACCATCTCAGAGGAATGCCAGTGAGTCATGTTACAGTGATGTAAGATGAGTAATAGCAGCACGTGCCACCTTTAATAAAGGTCTGGTCACCATTTTTTATTGGAGGTCTGAAGGCAATTTACACAGACGTAAAAGACCAGGCAATCTACTGAGGCAACGAGAGGCCCTGGATTGCTGATGTGTCTCCACAAATAATGCACACAATGCAAAATTATAAAATATAGAGGAGAATGAAAGGATAGAAGAATAAAATCATTACACATGTCAACTGTAGGGTAGCAATACTACAGTCTCTGAAATTAAGTTGAATCAACAACTCTGACAGTCACAACAAAGGCTGAAAAATATGAGCTTCACCTATTGTGCTGTAGGATGTACCCATTATTTTGTCCACCCCCTCAAAAATATCCCGGAGTTTCTTTTGTTTTATTGGATAAAAGTGTTCTAACTTGTGTATATTGTTGCCTTCTGAGCTGGAGGTTTATTAGTTATGTATTTACCACCACATTACTGTTTGTAACAGTCCAGTGTGAACACGACAGACAGTCTGTGGGTAATGTGGGCAGCAGTGACGAGTGCGTCTCCTGCCTCTGCATGTGTGTCACCGTCTGCGTCAAGACAGTCGGAGAGCCACAGAGAGGATTTGTGTGAACCAAGATGATACCTCCTCCCAAGTACTTCCGGTTTCGTCCGGCAGAAGCGCTGTTAGCCGGCTAACTACAAGATTTTCCAATTTGCAAATCTTTGCTAGTTTAAATTGAGCTATAATGTTGAAAGTTACTTCTTTATTAAGCTGGTGTGTATTCGCTTTGGTTGTTTTAGTCTGAATAAGATTCAGCTGATTTGAGACCAAACGACGTTTTAACAGTTAAGTTAAAGTATTTAGGTCAGCGTGGTTTGTAGTGTATGAATCAGTAAAAAGCGTTGTTTATGTTTCAAGAGGCTAAAACTATCATCTAATTATGACGTAGCTTATGTCTGACTAATCTGACTCCCTGGAGTTTCTACAGAGAGGTACGATAGCACGAGGTCTGAGGCGACACTATCTTGCAGCCAAACGTCTACTCTTTGGTTGCTGGCAGCCAGTCCTCTAGTGTTCACACTGGTACTACAGCGTAGCTTCACACAAACACAGAGGAACACACAATGCTCAGCTGGCTGCACCGCAGACAAGACCCATAACTTCGTGTCAATTTAAGATGCTTTCTGTCATTATGCTGCATTTTACTTCCTGGTGAGTAACTGCCAAAATAACTCCGCCGTACCCCCTTTAGGGTCAGTAATTACTGTGGGTTACATGGTGACCGTATCGTATTTAATGTTTATCACTTCAGTCTAATGTTTATCTGGAATAACATAGTCCATAATTTTGTGGAATTTGGGCAATTTCTATACCGTCACTGTAAATTGTACTTTTGAAGTAAGCGTAAAAGTAGTTTAGCCTACAAATATTTAAACAAACTTCCTATCACAGCGACGCGCACCCCGCTCCTCCGCGCTGCCCTGCTCTACGTTTGCTCTGGTTTGAATGGGATTCGTGCCTGCTGCTGTTTGTGCTGTAAAGACAGGGGGGGGGCAGTGTTGTCATTGTGGCTGACATGATCGCCGTGTGTCTCCGCTAGGGGTGAAGAGGTCAGCTGTCTAATGCCTGTTATTGTGCCAAACAGGAAACGACTCCTGTACCCCTCCAATGAAGAGTCGGTATGACTCCAGTGGGTATTTAAAGAGCGTCTGAAAATAATAATGAAATGATTGTGAACTCCCCCTCCCCAATACTGTAACTATAAACAATGCCCTGCAGCCTATTAACTACTTCAGTACATTATACTGTACAGTACCCCCTTCTGTTTCACACTAACGCGCACATGCACTATGTTCTTCTGCTGCTTTGGACCTTTAAATTATTGATGTGGTCTCAGTGGATATACCCACATGTACAAGTCTCTCCACTCTGTCACATATCAAATGTAAGAGATGTTATAGGTTACAAGAGGCAACTATAATAATACTGCAATGCAGCATTAATTAGCAATATTGTGATTTTTGTTTTATTTTTGTCGGAGTATTAAACAGCCATGCAGATGTTTTTGCAGCAGAGCGAAATCCCTTTACTCCTAACTGCTCATGCAGCACAAAGTTCTACTGTGTAAACAGTGTAAGGGCACAAGAACATGTCTCTTGTTTCACCTCTTATTTGCTGATGGATCCAGGAAGTTACTCACTCTGAGCGCGCGCACACACACATGCGCGCACACACACACACACCGCCTCACTCGCTGCTTTAACTATTTGCTTACTACAGACAATCAGAAGCCCCTTTTCTTGTGGACTCACAGTGAGTGTGTGTTAGAGCAGGGCAACGGCAGAGTCCATCCTGTCAGTGCAGACAAAGGTAGCCAGTTATTTACATTGCCTTTTCTGAACAGAAGCAATGTCCCTGTTGTACTCGCTCTTTTAGAAAAGTGCACATGCTGTTCTGTTTTCAGTGGCTCGTGTTATGTTGCACTCCCTTCCCTTCTCTCTGGGACTTAAGTCTAAATCCTGGTCAGCTGCTTGTACTACTGTCACTTATCGGACCACGATGGAGTTTAAAGCACCTTTGAGGTCAAACAGTTTGGATCGTTTGGGGACATGAAGAAGAGTGCAAGTTTTATGAGGGAGTAATCCGTTCGCAGATGTAAATATTTGCTGGTTTTCTTCGATTTCCATGATATTAAACAAAATACTGTTGTTGTTTTTTGGGGTTGTCACTCAGACTACACAAGACATTTGGGTATGTTTTTAGGGAACTTGTACACTTTACTTTACATTTTATGGAGCAAGCCGATTATAAATCTATATAGAAATAATCACTTGATGCAGCCCTAAACCAAACAATAGCAGTTTGCCCGGCAATGGGTCCTATAGGCTCCCATTGTTTCCCAAACTGCCGTGACATGTTTCTGCACACATACTGCTAACTTAACTTGTCTTATGGACTATGTTGGACAAGAACAGATTTTCTTTACTTTACTTTAACACCCCTCTGCTCAGATGTTCAGTTTTACTCAGTAGCTTTGAGCACCCCCGCTTAGGTTTGTAACCCTGAAATTACTCGTGTTTGGACTTTATTTTCCATGTTCACATCCAAAAATAGCAGCCACTTGAACCATTACACCCCCCCCCCTTCCCCCCCCCCCCCCCCCCCCCCCACCCCCCCCCCCCCCCCCCCC